GTATTTACAGATGAAAATGAAGGAAAAGGGACCTCAGTTAAGAAAAAGGATAAATGAGTCATTTATTACACGTGAGTTTACAGAGGAAGAGGTTCTATTTCAACTGTCAAAAGTAAAGACAAATAAGTCAATGGGACCTGATGGAATACACCCAAAGCTATTAAAAAGAGCTTAGTGGTGTACTAGCAAAACCATTAACAGATTTATTTAACCAATCATTGTTAACAGGAGTAGTCCCAGAAGATTGGAAGTTAGCGAATGTTGTGCCCATTTACAAGAAAGGTAATAGGGAGGAGTCGGGCAACTATAGGCCAGTAAGCCTTACTTCAGTAGTGGGGAAAATGATGGAAACCATGATAAAGGATAGGATTGCTGAACATCTAAAAACACATGGATTTCAAGATCAGAGACAACATGGGTTTACTTCAGGGAGATCATGCCAAACTAATCTTATTGATTTATTTGATTGGGTAACTAAAATTATAGATCAGGGTGGTGCAGTAGACATTGCTTACCTAGATTTCAGTAAGGCTTTTGACACTGTTGCACATAGAAGGCTTATCAATAAACTGCAATCTTTAAGTTTGGACTCCAATATTGTTGAATGGGTAAGGCAGTGGCTGAGTGACAGGCAACAGAGGGTTGTAGTTAATGGAATATATTCGAAGTTTGGACTTGTCACCAGTGGGGTACCTCAGGGATCTGTACTTGGACCCATTCTCTTTAATATTTTTATTAGTGATATTGCAGAAGGTCTTGATGGTAAGGTATGTCTTTTTGCTGATGATACTAAGATATGTAACAGGGTTGATGCTCCAGGAGGGATAAGCCAAATGGCAAATGATTTCGGTAAACTAGAAAAATGGTCAGAATTGTGGCAACTGACATTTAATGTGGATAAGTGCAAGATAATGCATCTTGGACATAAAAACCCAAGGGCAGAGTACAAAATATTTGATAGAGTCCTAACCTCAACATCTGAGGAAAGGGATTTAGGGGTGATTATTTCTGATGACTTAAAGGTAAGCAGACAATGTAATAGAGCAGCAGGAAATAGCAGAATGCTTGGTTGTATAGGGAGAGGTATTAGCAGTAGAAAGAGGGAAGTGCTCATGCCATTGTACAGAACACTGGTGAGACCTCACTTGGAGTATTGTACACAATACTGGAGACCGTATCTTCAGAAGGATATTGATACCTTAGAGAAGGGTTCAGAGAAGGGCTACTAAACTGGTTCATGGATTGCGGTATAAAACTTACCAGGAAAGGATAAAGGATCTTAACATGTATAGCTTGGAGGAAAGACGAGACAGGGGGGATATGATAGAAACATTTAAATATATAAAGGGAATCAACACAGTAAAGGAAGAGACTATATTTAAAAGAAGAAAAACTATCACAACAAGAGGACATAGTCTTAAATTAGAGGGACAAAGGTTTAAAAATAATATCAGGAAGTATTACTTTACTGAAAGGGTAGTGGATGCATGGAATAGCCTTCCAGCTGAAGTGGTAGAGGTTAACACAGTAAAGGAGTTTAAGCATGCGTGGGATAGGCATAAGGCTATCCTAACTATAAGATAAGGCTAGGGACTAATGAAAGTGTGACAGATACATCTGTATTGCTGGTTCGTCTGTTACCCTTTGTTTTCGTTGGATTTCCTGTCCGTATGCCCCTGTTCGTGTGATTACAAAATACCGATTGAAACTACCGAACGAACGACCACCCAGGAGAGGAGTGTGCTGCTGGTTAACCTCTTGGCCCCAATTAGAACGTTGTGGATAACCGCAGACACCTCTCCATTCCATTTGTACGGGTGGTCGTCGTTCGCATGCCGACCATGAGGCGGCGGCCATTTTGGGACACAAGGAAGCGTAGCGGTGTTCGGTACAAATTCTATGGAACTAAAAACGGACACTTTAATCTACCGAACACCGCTGGAAGCTGCTGCCCACCTTCTATTTCGGCAAGGCGCACGAACGCTGGTCTGATCGGGAGTTTTATACATTCGTATGGACCTTTACCCACATAGCCGTCCCATGGAGTCATTCGTATACCGAAGGACTGGTGAAAGACTTTGACTTCATGGCGATTCGACTAGATACATCGGATCTGAGCGCTATTCGGTAGAAATATGCACTCAGATCCAGGCTGTCTGGGGATACGTTACACGAACTATATTCATTCGGTATTTCTTCAGTTATATATTTTAATGTATTTTTCTTACTGTATTTTAAAATGGCGATTGTCTCTATCCTGGGAGATAATTAGGTTTCTTCCTAATTATCTCCGGGGTAGAGAAGAAGGGTTTATGGGTAAGATGGGAAGGGCTTATATTGAAGCCACTGCGATTGGCTAGTGTCCAATATGTTTTACAGTCATCCACAAGGTCCCCTCGGGGAGTGTCCACCTTGTGGAGACCTGCATAAATACCGGGCAGGTAGTCCCCATTAAACAGATCCTTATTTGACCCTCAAGGCGGCTTCATCTACATGGCGGTGAGTGTCGTAACAGAAAGTATTTAGAAAATTGGGCAGACTAGATGGGCAGAATGGTTCTTATCTGCCGTCACATTCTATGTTTCTATGTTTCTATAATCAGATAATCCCTCCTCTGTACCTGGGAGATCATTTGACTGTACTAACTCAATTATCTCCAGGCAGAAAAACACACATTTTTATAAAACCCTAGAAATACCTTAAAAATACTTAAAACCCCACAAAATTCTACTTTGAAAACTTCACTAATCCTGGTCTGGTTTATAATTTTTATTCAGATTTCAATTCAATGCTCTGGAGGGTTTAGAATATTCTTTAGAACTGAGCTGACTTCCTTAATGCATAAACTTTATAGGTTGAAGAATGTGCTATTTGTTATATTCAGTATTCTGCTATTTTATCCCTCGGGGACCTTGAGTTTGGCAATCCATTTAATGTCAGTGCTGGCATTTGTTTGGTTCGTATCAGACTTTCGCACAGATTCCCCTGTTGTGAAGGGGAACATTATAATTTCCTTTCTGCAATAAAAGGTATTATTTTGGGCTCGTATGTTCCATGTAAACTTGATGCTGGTTGTTGCAAGTATTTTAAATGACTTTGGAAGGTCCTTCAGTCCCCAGACCATTCTACCAGATTTACTATTTCAGGTAAAATTCACCTGCTACCTGCTAGAACAAAAAGGGAAATCGCTGAACGTGAAGTACCATTTCTGACCTCTGATATTTACAGAGATTCTTTTTGGCGTACTACTATCTGGACTTCGCAGCCAATGTATGGCTTTATGCTGTTGAATCATCCTGCATAATATAATATCGTAGCTTGTTTGTGACAAACATTTGGCTGATATGTTTCACATGGTCCCTGTACCTAGATCCATATATGTGATGGTCATCCATAACATTGCATGGATGTAATACCTGTGGATTATATGCTTGGACTGGTGTTGATATCTTTGCAGATAAAACAAACTGCAGAATAAGCTTGTTATCACCATACACTCTGCCATAAGTACTTTATCGCTATCTGAAGATAAGGTCAGAGTAAGTATGCGGTTGTTTGTTCTCACAAGGACAACTGAATATCTTCTACTAACCTGCTTTTTTATGTGTCTGTTGCCACAATGGACCCTGTGCCTCTGGTTACCACCTTTTAATCGGTGTCCTGCCTTTTGCCTATCTCCTACTGACATTACACAACAGTCTCTAATCAATTGGATTCTACTGTTTGAAATAATTAGCACTGTTTACAATATGTAGGTAGTGACGTTGTTGACCTACATTGCCTATGTATTATTTAGTAGCTGCCACAATTTCTATGGTTCATACTGATGTTTTTTTTAACTAATCTGAATGATATGATTCTTCGTGACTTTGCCTAGTAACTTCTACTTGTGTTATTGATTTCTACCTCTCCTTTAACTGTTCATTACGGTATCAATTCATTCACAGTGGGAGGTATGGTTGAGAATCTGATTTTTGCAATATATAGTCATTATTGCTGTGTTGTAGACATGTGCAATTCATTTTTTGGGGGAATTCGGACATTCAGAGACTCCCGAATGTCCGAATTGCTGAATTGCCCAAAAATTTAGAAGTGCTGAAGTTCCGAAGTTGCCGAAGTTCTGAAGTGGAAGAATGAAAAATTTTACACTGTATACCCGGGGGGGGAAGACAATAGGTCCCCCTCTTAATCTTCTTTATGGCCCCCACCCGCTTATGAGGGGTGGGGGCTGGGGTAGGACAATAGTCCCCCACCTTGAAGTAATTTAGTGCCCCCACCCACCACTAAGGGGTGGGGGCCAGGGGGAGTAATAGGTCCCCCCTTCAGTTTAAAAGCCCCAACTCGCGCGACACGGGTGGGGGCTCGGGAAGGGGGCCCTGGTTTTTTTTGTTTTGTTTTTTTTACAGTGAGCAGCCACAGGCAGAATGTACTAATACTAAGTCATTTTTACTTAGTATTAGTAAATTTGGCTGAAAGACCAATTAAATCTTTCAGTCTTTTGGTAGATAGCTCCCTAATAACGTGGGAATTAGGGAGTTATCTACTAAACGGCTGCAATAGAACATCCGAAGTCACAAAATTCCAGAGTTCCGAAATGCCGAAGTTTCGAAGTTGCAGAAGTTCCGAAGTGCCGAAGTCTCGAAGTGCCAAAGTCTCGAATTTCAGAATGCCGAACCGAACCAAATACAGGGAGTGCAGAATTATTAGGCAAGTTGTATTTTTGAGGATTAATTTTATTATTGAACAACAACCACGTTCTCAATGAACCCCAAAAACTCATTAATATCAAAGCTGAATATTTTTGGAAGTAGTTTTTAGTTTGTTTTTAGTTATAGCTATGTTAGGGGGATATCTGTGTGTGCAGGTGACTATTACTGTGCATAATTATTAGGCAACTTAACAAAAAAAAATATATACCCATTTCAATTATTTATTATTACCAGTGAAACCAATATAACATCTCAACATTCACAAATATACATTTCTGACATTCAAAAACAAAACAAAAACAAATCAGTGACCAATATAGCCACCTTTCTTTGCAAGGACACTCAAAAGCCTGCCATCCATGGATTCTGTCAGTGTTTTGATCTGTTCACCATCAACATTATGCAGCAGCAACTACAGCCTCCCAGACACACTGTTCAGAGGTGTACTGTTTTCCTCCTTGTAAATCTCACATTTGATGATGGACCACAGGTTCTCAATGGGGTTCAGATCAGGTGAACAAGGAGGCCATGTCATTAGATTTTCTTCTTTATACCCTTTCTTTGCCAGTTACGCTGTGGAGTACTTGGACGCGGTGATGGAGCATTGTCCTGCATGAAAATCATGTTTTCTTTGAAGGATGCAGACTTTTTCCTGTACCACTGCTTGAAGAAGGTGTCTCCAGGAACTGGCAGTAGGACTGGGAGTTGAGCTTGACTCCATCCTCAACCCGAAAAGGCCCCACAAGCTCATCTTTGATGATACCAGCCCAAACCAGTACTCCACCTCCACCTTGCTGGCGTCTGAGTCGGACTGGAGCTCTCTGCCCTTTACCAATCCAGCCACGGGCCCATCCATCTGGCCCATCAAGACTCACTCTTATTTCATCAGTCCATAAAACCTTAGAAAAATCAGTCTTGAGATATTTCTTGGCCCAGTCTTGACGTTTCAGCTTGTGTGTCTTGTTCAGTGGTGGTCGTCTTTCAGCCTTTCTTACCTTGGCCATGTCTCTGAGTATTGCACACCTTGTGCTTTGGGCACTCCAGTGATGTTGCAGCTCTGAAATATGGCCAAACTGGTGGCAAGTGGCATCGTGGCAGCTGCACGCTTGACTTTTCTCAGTTCATGGGCAGTTATTTTGCGCCTTGGTTTTTCCACACGCTTCTTGCGACTCTGTTGACTATTTTGAATGAAACGCTTGATTGTTCGATGATCACGCTTCAGAAGCTTTGCAATTTTAAGAGTGCTGCATCCCTCTGCAAGATATCTCACTATTTTGACTTTTCTGAGCCTGTCAAGTCCTTCTTTTGACCCATTTTGCCAAAGGAAAGGAAGTTGCCTAATAATTATGCACACCTGATATAGGGTGTTGATGTCATTAGACCACACCCCTTCTCATTACAGAGATGCACATCACCTAATATGCTTAATTGGTAGTAGGCTTTCGAGCCTATACAGCTTGGAGTAAGACAACATGCATAAAGAGGATGATGTGGTCAAAGTACTCATTTGCCTAATAATTCTGCACTCCCTGTATTTTCCACATGCACATCCCTACTGTGTTTTAATAATAGACTCTCTTATTTCTCT